ATTTAACATAACTATATATTACATAATTATTTCTATTATTTAATTATGAAATCTGTTTTTAATTGTCGAACTTTTATAATGAAATGTGAATTGAAAACAGTAAAAATATAATCGAAAATGATTGTTCCCATCTTATCAGCTTTTTAATTCCGAAATTACTTAGGCTTGTTTAGACAAAAGATAAAATCAATACCAAATGTATATACTATTTATTGTCAATATTAACTCACAGCCAATTGATGTATCATTTGTCAAAAGAGACGAATGCATAATAACGGTGGTGGGAAACATTTGAAATGTAAATCAACAAGCAAAAAGTCGCAGACTAAAAGAAACTTCACAAAATCCATTTTTATTACCTATACCAATATTAAATTACTCAGATAAATATTGGACTTTTGAGATATTTAGACAGAATGAACCGTTCTTAAATGATGATAATAAATTCATAAAACAAAGGACAAAATAGTTTATAAATATATATTAGATCTATTTTAGACAGGATATAATATATTCTACCTTAGAACATATACGCACGTATTCGTATTTTATAGTGCTTTGTAAATATTTCCTGAAATGCACGTTAAATAACTCAGCATTTTGTTTTCGTGCGCGGCGCTATATGTATATGTTTATGCAAGTTAGGTCGCCGCGCTATTATTTGTGCGGCAAGTCTCGTGCGGGAAGATAGAGTGACGCGAGCCACTCCGTGTGTCATCGCGTTATTATCTCACGAAACGTGATTGTTTCCTGTGAACAGTCAGCAATTATCAGTCGCTCGATTATCTTCCACGATTAGCGACTCGTAAACGAATTGAGGCGGCAACTACTTGTCGAAGTAGATATCTCGGGATTTTGGAGGAGAGAGAGAAAGAGAGAGAGAAAGATAGAGAGAGAGAGGGAGAGAGGGGGGGGGACGATGTTTATATTATAGATTATACTTTTATTATGATATTTGCAAAGACAATATTTCTTAAACGGATTCGAATATATCGCGTTTTATTTAAATGCCATATCTAGTAGTAGTGATTTAAATAATAGAAAAGCGTATCAAATATGAATTTGTTAATACTATGTACGTTTCGCATTAGCTTCCTTTAATACGTATATTTCTGGATTTAAGTATTCGAAAATGTGTGTAATACTATATTTTAATTATATATTTTTCAACAAATTATCGCGTCTTAATTAGTTGTATCGTATTCCACGATATCAAGTTGAGGTATTTTAATAATTAATGCGCGATCATATAGTTAATTTTTTTGCGAATTTCGAATATTTTGTGCAAGCGCTGTGAAAGAACAACGAAAGCTTAGGAGAGATATTAGGCGATGGCGTGCCAACCACGGGATGAATAGTTAATTTTATTATTATATTTTATTGAAACTTTGATACTTGCGAGGATTGATTCACAATTATTTTTATATGCGCGCAGTAATTATTTTGTAATTTTGATCATCGCTATATTTTTGGATATATTTGTCTTTACAGGTCAATGTTCGTAATATCGCAATTCCGCCGCTGCGCATCGTATTGGTGAGTGACAAATTATATATACATATCTTGTTTTAATTTGCGAGATAATGGATGCGAAAAGTATAGGCAAATATAAGTACGTAAAGATGTATATGCAGGGGCACACGGTGCATGATTTTCCTACTGGATTGCTTGCGATCTAGTAAATTACAATAATTGCACCACTCAACACTCAGGATTTCTAGTAATTTACTAGATCGCGAACAATCCAGCAGGAAAACATGCTCCGTGTGCTGCTGGCTTAATATACATGATACATTATAATACGTGCAGAGCAACAAAACACCTATTGATTCTGTCCAAACGCCGCGAGGAAAACGCTTGGAAACGCGTATCGTTCGCGCGCAAACGATGCGCGAAAAAATGTGTTTACGTTCTTTTTTTCCCATTCACGACTACGGGGTGCGGGCTTACCCTATGTAGTTCTCTCCGCAGCTGCGGCTCGATTGCGGTGTAGGCCCGCACATTGCGTTCGGAGCTCACCAGCGAAGCGTTAATCGATATTAATTACATCACACGATGACTCGCCGGTTCTGTCATGTGAATCCGTTTTCAGCTTTGTTGACCCGATGCGGAACGAGTAGCATATGACTATTTAGCTTCCCGCACGAAATCGCATGCCCGGCGCAGTGTATATTGATAATCGATTTTTGATAGAGCGAGACAGATATATTTGCATGGGAATTGACATTACGCCAGACAATTCGACTTTTGATGTTATGTAACGAAACGTGACGCGTTCGGGATTTGAATCGAAGCAAACGTCGCGTTTGTATCGTCAGACACGGTAAAGTAGGTCTGTAATGCAAATTACTTATCTACATAAAGGAAGTGCACAAATACAGAATAAACAAACATAAAATATAAAGTAAATATAAAAAATATCTGAAAATCTTTCCAAACTCGGTACATTGTATATGTTGTTTAAAATTCATAGAATCTGAAGATTGAATTTACAACATTTTCGAAATTGCTCGTATGACAGAAAATGTCCCATCAAAATATGGCATATCGAATGTAATTGTCGTGTACGCGACCATCTAGATTCGCATCAACGAAATCAGGCTGTTTCCGACAAAGTTCTCGACAGTTAGTTATACATTTGATTCCGCACCTACATCGTGTTTATTAATCCATAGGTTCGTTATCTCGTTTACAAGACCTGCGATATTACAACAGTGATTTACGACACACGTTTATCTTCGTTAGAGCGAAATCGCGCTGAATTTCTCACTGCTTAGCGTCAGCGTAAAGTCATGCGCAGAGTAAGTTCTCCAATCATAATTTTTCTAACAGTGGATATCCATTCATCACTATCAACAATATACGACTAATATTAGATTTTTTTCGAGATAATTTTTAATCCTTGCTTCGTGCAATTATTTCATAAAAAGAATTACGAAAGAAAAAATCCATGAATTAACATACAGATACAGAGATACATATAATTGTATAACTAAATCTTTTTTATGTATCTTATTACATTTTTCTAATCCCCTTTCTGAAATGTACATCATGAATTAATAATGTCGATGTTTCCAATAATGTAGTTATATTTAAATATAGTTATTATAGTTATTTACAGGGAAACTCTCTTTAACCGTTTTCGATTATAATAAGTCTTTGCATTGTGTTATAGAGAGAGGAAAGTAAAGATCCAATTTCATTAATGTCTTAACCAATATAATAATTTAATGTTACTTTATTTTATCGTTATAATATCGGAATAATTTTAGAAAGTTATATGTATTTGTTCCAATTTGTTTTTATTTTGGTTATTATGTACGACAGTATATAACTCGGCATATATATTTTTTGTATTAATTTTTAAATACGGTTTTAGTACCACATCGAAAAAGACAATATGATATTAATGTATAAATTAACTTTTTACTATTCTTAAGAATTATACATATAATTCTTTTTGACGCTATGCAGATTTTGTGTTATTCTGAAAGAGTAAAATAACGGAACGAAAGTTAATTAAATTGGTCGCGTGTGCTGTACGTTATGTTTTTTCTGCAAGAGAGATACTGTGCTTTGTATTGTACATAGTAACTGTCTAAAAAATAACTTCTCCCATTTCTAGGAAATTGGAGCGAGATCTAGTGCCATGCATACGTGTCATTTTGACCTTTTAACTACAATGCTGAAAGAAAAATGTAATAAAGAAACCGTTATTATTTTTTAAAAGCATAAAAATTTGGAGTATGAAAATTTTACAAATATGGTTTTTTCAATAAATATCGACGTTTCAGTACCTGGTTTAAAGTTTAAACTAATATTAATTTGGTTTTATAACGATGTTTTAAAACATGGCTTTGAAATCGTTGAAAAATTTTTAGTAATTTCACGTTTTGATGTTACAAATGAAAATTGAGCAAAAACAATCTTCATGTTTACTTTTGATAATGGAAACATGATTTTGTGCATGGCACATTTTCCCGTGTCTACAGCATCGAAAATTTAGCTTGAAACTATATTTCAAATGAGATTTTATTAAATATAAACTCATGGAGAATAATCCATGTTTCACGTATAATATAAGTAGATCAATCAGTGACGTTTAACAAGTATATCGGTAATACGATGCATACGAGTGCATACATTATAATGTTTACATATACAACTTAAAATCAATGATTTAATAAGCGATGATCATTTTGTTTTCTTTCTTTCTTTTTTACTACTCTATTTGCGATCAGAGATAGAAATGTGCAAAAGTCGTTGAACACAAGAACACTCGAGGTAATCTTTTTTTTTTTAACTTCAATGCGCTTGTTGTGATAAACAGGAGTTTGATATTTCATGAAGTTCCACCGCAGGACCCTCCGCAATGAAAACTCAACGCAATGTCTGTTCCGCGTGACAATTCTCGCGACAATTCTCGCCGTGGTAAATCTCACCGCCGTAATCCGTAATCCTCAAGCGGTCTCGCGCTCTCGTTACACGCGTGCAGCGCTTGCGGCGGTATACCTAAAGCTGCTCGTACGACAACGATTAATTAACATTAGCGGACGCCGTCACCGTCGTTTCGCGTCGCGTCGCGTCGCGTCGCGCCGATGGTGTCAGATGCGACGGAAGGTGGTGGAGAACGGAACTCCGGTAGGAGGTGCCGAAGAGCACGGCGGAAGATACGTAACGCGTGCGGGCGCGAACGATAGAGACGGAAGCGACGGAATGATAGGCCGAAAGAGAGGGAATGGAGAGAAAAGCGCACATCACACAAGGAGGTGGGAGCTTTCGCGGGCCGAGGGAAACCATCGGCGGGGGAGCAGCAGGGGGCGGTTGGAAAGGAGGAGGGAACGCTGGAGGCCATGAGGAGCCTTACGGCGGTGGGGACGGGTGGCGGCGGCGATGGTGGCGGCGGTGGCGGCGGAGGCCGCTCGTCGTTCAACACGCAGGATCAGTCTCGGGGAGAGAGACCTCGCTCCGCCGCTTTCGCCTCGCTCTATCTAGTACCTCCGCCGCACTCGTACACGCTGGAAAACGCGCCGTTCTTCACGCGCCTGAGTAAAGGAAAAAAATAGAAACGCGAGTTCACCGCGTCCAGTAGAGTCCGGCGGAAGATCGCGGAGATCTCGACGAACGCACGGTGGTGCGACGCCGGCGTTCTTTCGCGTCGGTGGTGGACGGAAAGCCTGTTGCGAGTCGCTTCCGTCGATCCGTCCACTTTCTCGGCCTCCCCGCGCTCCCTTTCTCCCTGACGTATTCCCGTATCAGGTATTAGAAGGATTCCGTCTAGGCGCCTTTCCCTTTTTTTTTGCCCCGATGTTTCTCCTTCGCCGATGAATCGATCCGCGGACATGTCGCGGTGATCGCGTCGACTGTTGTTGTTTATTACGGTCAACGAGGAGTCCGATCGAGGGACGCGGAGCGAGAACGAAAGAGATAGAGAGAAAGAGAGAGGAAGATCGCGAGGAAACTAGAGAGCGAGAGGAGAAACTTCTCTCGCGTGCGTTCTCGTTCCGTCCTCTTTGATCGAGCACGCATCCCTTCTGCCGGTCGACGAAGAGATACGAGGGAGAATAGTGGGTACCGCGTGTAAGAATCCATGCCACGCCGTTATCCGCGCTATCAACTCGAAATGGCGATCTCGGTGTTGTAAAGTAGCGTAGAGCGCTACACAATAAATGGAAAAGAATGAAAGAGAGAGAGAGCGAGAAAGAGAGATAAAAAGGTAAAGACCACTTAGGAACGCGCTGACGTTTAAGCCGCGACATAGTACGCTCTGGAGTAGCGACCCGTTTTCCTACAAGGACGTGAGTGTAAGACTAATTAGCGAGGGACACTAGCACAGGGACGAGAGGAGAGAAGAGAAACGGGGGATGGCTGGGAGCACCGACACAGCCGGGGGTTGAAGTGCCGAAGACAGAAGGGAAACTTAGTGTTTGCCGGTACGTGTCCGGTGGTCCCCCGAGGCATACTGAGGAAAAGGGCGAGAAAATCCCTCGATTTTTCTCCGTCTTTTCTCCTCTTCTCTCTCGTCTAGTTTCCGGAATTCGCGAGTAAACTGTCGAGCTGGCGAACGTCGAGTATACGAACGAGGCTGAGAGTCGCTGTCTAAGCGTTTTAGAACTGACGCCTCTTCGGATGAGACTAGGCAGGATAGAGCAACGTTGCGCCGTGCCCCGTTTCTGTTACCCTGTTCTGTTGAGAACTTTCCGAAGTCAGCTCATACATTCTGCACGCGAAGCGAATGAGAAATAAATACAATATAGTTTAAAGGGAATTAAGGTCGTACGATTAGATCTGGCTTTCTGCTCACGTCAGACTGCTGATTTGGAAGATTAGTCATTTCGTGGGTCGTTCGGCGAGAGTTTTATCAAAATAAATCATGCAAGAATCATATGTGTTTGAAAAGTTTTTGGAAGCGAATAGGAACACGAACGACGTGAAACAATAAACTACAATAAAGGAATTTCCCCTATTTATATATTCGTTATTATATAAAATAGTATTACATTGCCTTTTGTTTTTTTTTTTTTTAATTTGAAATTCAATGTCCTTTTTGATTCAATTTCCTTTTGTTTTTTAAATAATTTTCAGATTTACAAATAATATTTTTCCACAGCTACGAACTTTGAACTTTGAACTTTGCCATGCACTCCAAAATGAGAAAAGTTCTCAGAATGTCGCTTTCAATCGAAGTGTATCGAGCTATACGTAAAAAAATATTATTAAACTCTGACAGGAGTAATCAAGGTAAACTATACTGCCAGTTTTTGCAATATTAAATACCGCGTTAATTAAACTTAAGATTAACTTCTGGCAAAGAGAAAATTGAATGGAAATTACTTATGACAGTAAAACTCCGCGGTTTCCACAGAACTTCCGGGAAACACGGATAATGAGATTCTAGAGACTGATTTATTGCGTCGTATCTATTTATACCGCGATAATAATTACATCGATAAGCAACTTGTTTCAGCCTATTTTTATGCATACAACACATCCCACGTTGATACGTTGATAC